GACCTAGGGCGGACACCGAGCAGACCCTGGGCAGACCTTGGGTAGACCCTGGGCAGACCTAGGGCGGACACCGAGCAGACCCTGGGCAGACCTTGGGTAGACCCTGGGCAGACCTAGGGCGGACACCGGTCAGACCCTGGGCAGACCTTGGGTAGACCCTGAGCAGACCTAGGGCGGACACCAGGCAGACCCTGGGCAGACCTTGGGTAGACCCTGGGCAGACCTTGGGCAGACACCGGGCAGACCCTGGGTAGGCCTTGGGTAGACCCTGGCTCGAAGCTGTCTTGCTGTAGGTTGTTTCTTCATTAGAGTTCATGCCTCAGTGCTCTGCAACCTCATGAGAAACAAGCAGAGTTCTGTCATTTTTCACCAGACGTGAAATCTGACGACAGGCTGCTTCTCAAATTAATGACAGCATTGACCTGCGGCTGACGTGACAAACATGTATAAGGGCACATATTTTTCTGTCATTTTGAGCTCAGTCCAATTCATTAGTATGTCTGAAAACCTTCCATTGTTCAGAGTTTGAAAGACCTGCAGTATTATGCTCCTAAACATATTATACCTACACGGGCTTGTATATGCTAGTATATTACCCATATGTACTTATATGTTGTTTTCTATAATGTCCTCCCCTGGTAGAATTTTTGGAATATTTTTGAATATAAATACCATCATTAATGAACATTTAAATGAGAGAAGTGGTGAGTTTTCATTGGAGATCTGTGCTTTGTGCAGGAAACCCTTCCCAATCGGAGACAGGGTGACGTTCAGCGGGAAGGAGTGTGTCTGCCAGCAGTGCTCCCACACGCTCGTCGGCACTAACGAGCCAATCAAGATCCATGGGCCCAGCCGTAAGTCCCCGCCCCCCACATCACTCCCCAGCTGTAAGGTGGGGACTTTTACCCCATCTGCCGCCTTTGAAGTAATCCACACAAGCAGCTGCCTTAAGTCTTGACAAGGGAGGCAGGGAATCCTGTAAGTGCTATGATAACATAACAATAGCCAAGATGAAGGCTCCTCACTCCAGAAACCAGTGGCCTAACATGGTGCTGTCACATACACAAAATGAAACGATCTCCATTATGTCCCATCCAAATGTGTTTTGCCTTCACATTGCCTTCCTTCACTTTCTCCATGGGCGTCAAAGAGAAGCCCACGGTGTCCGTCCTGACCAGACGGTGATCACAGAGAGTTTATCACTGCTATAGCATTCAGGGAGGCATGTGATTCACTGTCATCCCGTAATTGGTGTGTGCATTTGATGAGGATCATATTAAAGAATTCAGTTTTCAGCCATTCCCCCACTCATTTTGTGTAACTCGTCAATCGGGACAATAAATGTGGAGATCATTGAGTACGGAGGCCTACTTAACTCCCACTAGATGAAGTGGTACGGAGTGGGGGAGGCTGGCAGTAAAAGCTGGATGCTGCAAACACACCTGACACCACATCAGTCCCTCTTATCACTTAATGCATCTCATAAATCTCCCTGACAACACAGCCCCCCCTCCCTGTACTCTAGGGCACAATTGCTTGCACCATTCATATTGATATTTGCTTGTCAAGATATAATTGGAAACATTGATCACTGGAGGACAGCCTCCTGGTCTCTGCTACATCCTCCACACACATTAGAGCAGAAGCAGGTAGCAGATTCACCAGCTAAAACATGGACCCATGGGGTAGGCTCCAGGTTCACCATAGTCCTAGATAAGTATGGAAGGATGGAGGGATGGATGGAATGATTTGGTGAGAACTGACACCGGGACAGAAAGGAATCTGGCACTGATTACAGGAAAGAAAGGAATCTGGCACTGATTACAGGAAAGAAAGGAATCTGGCACTGATAACAGGAAAGAAAGGAATCTGGCACTGAGATTGGGATAGAAAGGAATCTGGCACTGATAACAGGAAAGAAAGGAATCTGGCACTGAGATTGGGATAGAAAGGAATCTGGCACTGATAACAGGAAAGAAAGGAATCTGGCACCGATAACA